TTCTAGCCTCTTAACTTTTGTTCCTCTGGTCTTTCTTATTTTCTTTGCAAACTATTTTATTTAAAGTAGCTTTAGAATACACTTCAATATTGACAGAGCTCTATCTCCTTTATCATAATTCCTTTTCAAAATTAATGTAGTAAATCTCAAAGTCTAATTTTTCCAAATACCTCTGGTATAGTTTCTCTAATCCTCCCCACCGCACTCCTGACAAAGACAGTCACTCTAATGTAATCACTGAATTACATCAAGTTTACAGATTAGTAGCAATTGCAACCTAGTCTAATTAGCAATGTCCAGGAAACAGCAAACTTTCATCTGTTGCAATTCTACTGTCCTAAAATAGGGCGGTGGTGGAAGAGGGTGAGGGGGTGCAGGTTTGTAATTCCCAGAATGCAGTATCTTCCATGGCTCTCCCTATGTGCATCTTTTTTTAACTGCAATGCTCATACCTCCTGCTTTTCACAAATCTTTATTTATGCAGAAGAGTGTTGTTATCCTCCATTATGTCTGAGAACCTTCAGGCTGTCCACATAGGTCAAGACACTTAACTGAAGTTCATGGAGCTAGTAAATGATGAAGCTGACTGATCCCACTCTGTTCTAATCTCATTGCCTTTGTCCTTACTCGCTATCCTATACTCTTAGACTTGAAGGAGCTGCAGTGAGAATTCAGGAATTATTAGCCAGGCACCATTCATAAGCTAGAAGTATATATACATTTTTAAACAGGAGAACTACAATTAATGTTTTCTTCTAGCAAGGGCAGTATTTTCTGGAATCTGAATTGAAGTCATAAAAGTTAAGTTTATAAACAAAATTTTAAACCAGAACGGTACTAGTTGATCCCTGATACATACAGGTAGTCACATAAAAGAACAAAAAGAGCTGAAAAAGAAACATCTTGAAGCCCTCTGAGGGGGTGACTGTATCAGATTCTCATCATTCCAGCTCTCTTTTGGCGGCCTGTATCCCCATGCTTCTAGGTTGTGCTCTTGTTCAGGGACTGGCCACAGAGGTGTTAAACAGAGAAGCAATTTCTATCGATCCTAGAGACCTGCCCAAGAACATGAGGAGAATTGTGCATATTATGTTTATCAAATAATATTCCCAAATGAAATGAATGAAAATTGATTCCCAAGAAAATGCAGATGGTAACAATGCAAATAAATGTTCATTATGAAAACCTCAAGACTTTTTCCCTTCCTTCTATGGTCTTTGTTTATTCATTAACAAAATCTCATTTGGGCACAGTATTTCATCAAAAACCTTGTGCAAACATTTTTATACAAGCCCTTTAACATCTAGCAGTTCCCCCAAAACTTTGATGTCCTGAAAAATCTAATTATTACTGGTAACTTTAAAAGATCACAGTAATTTATTTTTGTCAAATGTGACTAAAGATTAATGGATACAATCAGGAATAATTTGGTAAAAACATATCAAATGCAGAGAAAGCAAAATTTGTTGTTAAGTGAAGCATCAAATATAATAAAAGAGCAAATTCCATGAATGAACAGCAACAATGCACAATTCATTAACCAAATGCCCACAATCATTTCACACTTCAGAGGGCTACTGATATGATCAGAAATTGTTGTAAAAGGATAAATATAGATTGACTTCAGCATCTCTATACATTTTAATTACAAATGCTACCCTCAGAGGGCTACCAGCATAATAAAGGAAATATAAACTATGGATTTAGCTGTTACTATCTATAAGTATTTTAAAAATCTTGTTAACATTGTGGCTCTGAAAATTCTTACCTTTTCAAAATCATCATCATCATCACTACCATCACCCACAATCAAATGCTAATGTACTAGTTAATGTTCTTTACCGTCCAAAGGAAAAATGTTTGTTCAACAAATATTAATAAATTCCTTGAGGGCAAGGCCACATCTGGCTAGTTTTTATATTCCCAGAACTGGTTTAGTGGTTGACTCACTAAAAGTATTATACCAATAGCAGAACAAAACAGTGGAAATAACTTAAAGAATCATTATTAAAAAATGAATGTGATATACATATTTGAAAGTAACACACTGCAAAGTAATGACTACAGTATGATCTTATCCATGTTTTCCAAAAGATATAAATATAAAAATTTCACAAAAGCAAATATAGGTGAGGCTTTTCAAAAGGAGGTATGGTACAAAATGGACTTAATTAATAGCTGCCTTTTTACTACTACACTCACGATCTGGCAACCCACCCTAATTCTTTGAGAAGTTGACTTTACAACTTCCCTTTCCTCCCTCTAGTTCTAGGTCTCCATTTAAACAATTTCTTGCCTTCACAGAATCTTTTCTCATTTTCTTCTCATCATTGATACCCAGTCAGTTCTCATTTTGGGATTCTACCCTATCATGTATTTTCTCTGCCCCAACTCTGACACATAAGGGAACACACACACATACACACTCACATATCCTTTCCTAACCAGAGCAAAGCAACCCCTATTCCTATCATGTTATCTTACACGTTGTTTCTGTCTCTGAGAAATGCTTCTTACTGTCCTGCCAAAGCTAAGATACATCTTTCTTAGCCCATACCTTGTAGTTTTCTAAGACCTTGTCCACATGCAGCCTTCTATTATTTGAATATCAAGGTTCCCTTCTGAGTCTATAGAAATATTCAAATTGCGCCTATCTTAAACAAGTGAAAGAAAAAACGATTCTTGGACATATTGCCTCCCTTATTCATATCCTATGACATCAGCAAGTTTCGTCCTTTGTCCTATGTCTAGATCTCTTAAAAGTTTATACCCATGCATGCTTCTTCCTTATTGCCTACCCCTTCTTCAACACCAACGCTCTTCAGAGTATCAGAGTGGCCTGTGGAGTAAAGTCCAAAGGCCTTTCCCTGGTAGGTCAGGTCCACTCCTGCCTTTCCACAATTCTCTCACATCCCCCCCGACACAGCCTGGGTGCTCCCAACTGAAACATCAGTTGTTTCCCACACACATTGTTCCTTCGCCTGTTCCCTCAGATTGGCACACTTTCAGCAAGCAAGTTTGGCCTATTAAAATTCTACCTGTGCTAAATAGCAGCTTGCTTTATCCAGATACAACAGTGCCCCCGAAGCTTCTGCAAGGCACACAGGATAACTCAGTCTTCATCCACAAGAACTACAGAACTGGGAGCAACCTCCGTGTGCTGCCTGGATCAATCATCTTTGTATTCACATGTAGTACCTTGAATATTGCATGCATAATACTCATTCAATATTTGTTTGAAATGAAAGAAAAAGAACTGCTATATATTTCAGTACATAGCATGAATATAAGTGGCAACCTGAAGAAACTTATTTTTCTGAATCCTACTGGGAAAATGACACCCTTGGACACAGAACATTGTCATCTGGTAACTTCTAACCTCTGGGGTAGTCCCAGGACAACTGGGGCAGTCCCAAACAAGATCTCCCATGACAAGGGAATGCGTCCCTTTTTGCACTCTTTCTCCCAGGCCTCCAGGGGAGAGAGGTGAATTCAGATTCCTTGAGGGATCTTCAACCATTCTTTCACTCTGACATAATGTGCCCCAGGATAATCTAATTCAAATTATAAACCATGGATGGAGACAGAATTATATAAAAATCAGGGTCTGCCAGGCAACAGAATAGGATCCAGGGTTAATATTGTGAATATACCATTACCTGGAAGTGACAAAATGGACCTAGGCTATGATGTCTACATGGATCAAATCTCAAGTGAGGGTCCTGTGCAATCCTAGTAAACTCTAGGATTTTTTTTTGCTTAGGTGTGCCTAATCTCATGAAATTTATTTCATTTATGTAAGACTAAAATCTATCAGATACACAAAGTAAGTCCAGAGTGGATGTGGTAGTAACTTCATCTAATAAAAATTAATTCATGTAACAAATTATCACCATTGAGTATGAAACTGCAATGAATATTGAATCTTACATAGTATCTAAAATAACCCAGAGTCAAAATTCCTTGCAGCAGTACCCAGCCCAACGTGCTATATCTAAGAACACCACAAAGGATGATTTCTCCAGGACGATTGGTTCTAAAAGTCTTTTGCCTTCATGTTATTACTGTCAGCTATCATACTGCCTACAATTTATTGTTTTTTGCTTTCTGTGGCAAGCCCTGTTTTAAATCTTCTTCATGATTATTCATTTAATCTTCACAACAATTATTAACAGAAGGTATTTTTTTCTTATTTGAAAGATGAAGAAACTTAGCGAAATTAAGTAACTCGCTTAAGTGTATCTGTGTGCATGTGTGTATGTCTGCACATACATATATACATCTTATAAAGCACCTGAGCCAGAATATGTACCCATATTTCTTTGATTCCAAACCCCACACTAATAACCACAGACAACAGAATCAAATCATTAAATATACCATATGTAAGACCACTGGTGTTCCCTACTAAAATTTATTTCTTTATATATCCTGTTCCCATGTTGAAAGAACTTTCCATAAAGTCTTTCCTAAAACTAACTAAAAGAGTGACAGAACTACAGGTTAGCAGGTCTTTTTCATTTTTTACACATAAACTAGAGTTTTGCAAACTGTAGTTCATATTTCACTGGAAGAGATGATTTTAATAGAGAAACAAAAAGAATTACTTTAATAGATTAATTCATCTTAACAAATCTTTCTATTAAAGATAAATCACTGACATAAATGTGATTTTAAATGATACACAGATATTTTTATTTCACATAAATGTACTTTATTATGTAAAAAAACACTAACCAGAATATCAAATCAATGAATTCACAGGAATATAAAGTTTTCTTTTTAAATAAACCCATTTCAATGTGAAAGACAAGCTATATTTAATTTTAAAATTGTCTAACTACCTATATTTTAAAAATGAGAAGGTGCTTCACAAAGAATGGAAAATGAAGAAATGCAGTAGTAACGTGACTTTCCAGCCCTGCGTGCACGTTTATGTCTACATCGGGAGGAAAGATGAAACCTTTACCTGCGTTACATCCATCCACACCAGGACTCACCTCTGGTGACCGCATCCAGGGCACAGCCACATCCTGTTGCTCCTCCTCCGATGACAAGTACATCGAACTCAGATGTGTTTTTCAAAGTCAGTATCTGAGCTTCTCTAGAGGGAGGCTCCCTGTTAACAGGTTCTGAAACGCAGTCTGCTGCTTCAACGAAGGCCAGGTTCACCTGAGATAAAAGGAGACCATTTTCAGATGTTCATCTGGAACACCAATTTAATTAATTTTACATTACACTAAAGAAAAAAGAGAGAGAAAGAGAGACTTGTAATGAAGATGATAACCAGAGCTAGACCAGAGTCCATAGTCCACATGGAATGATAGAATCAACTGCCTTGGAGGAAAAAAATAGTCCTTAAAATTCTGTGGTTTTTTTTTCCCACATGAATCATAGCTATTTAACTGTGGAACACCTGGTTTCAGATTTGCTATCTCAACTGATTGTTTTGATTCCATACCCAGCCAAGTTCAATTACTTTCCACAGGGTACAGCAATTCCCAAATACCCTGTCTGAGACAATTTATAGGAGACCATAAGGAAATGTTTTACCTAGTAGCAGCCATTCATTCAGATGACATTTAAAAGTGTAGAAAGGAGGAAGAAAAAACACTTTATTCCTTTCTGCAATTTCTTAAAGGTATATGTTCTTAATGCCTTAACTTCCCTGACAAAAATACATTCTAGAGTTTGGGGATCTTTAAGTCAGTACAATTAAAAAGAATCTGTTCAACAGAAGTTACTATCCAGCTTAATAATCAGCTATGGCCAATGGGAATAATATTATATAAAGATTTTAGTCAAAAAAAAAAAAAGATTTTAGTCAGTGGTTTCCCCATTAAATGCTTTAACATAAAATTATATATTATATATTTAATACACACTATTTCAATTTATGAAAGCTTTAACAATAATATAATTAAAGCTGACCATAGTCCCCCTAAAGGATAATGACCTTCCTTATTTCTATTAATAGCTCTTTCATTACACTATAACTTATCATCCTAAATCAAGAATGATGCTCAGTTTAGTTCAGTCACTCAGAAATGTCCAACTCTTTGCAAACCTCATGGACTGCAGCACACCAGGCGTCCCTGTCCGTCACCAATTCCCAGAGTTTACTCAAACTCATGTCCATTGAGTCAGTGATGCCATCCAACCATATCATCCCCTGTCGTGCCCTTCTCCTCCTGCCTTCCATCTTTCCCAGAATCAGGGTCTTTTCAGAGTCAGTTCTTCTCATCAGGTGGCCAAACTATTGGAGTTTCAGCTTTAGCAGCAGTCCTTCCAGTGAATACTCAGGACTGATTTCCTTTAGGATGGACTGGTTGGATATCCTTGCAGTTCAAGGGACTCTCAAGAGTTTTCTCCAACACCACAGTTCAATAGCATCTATTCTTCAGTGCTCAGCTTTCTTTATGACTATTGGAAAAATCATAGCTTTGACCAGATGGACCTTTGTTGGCAAAGTAATGTCTCTGCTTTTTAATACGCTGTCTAGGTTGGTCATAGCTTTTCTTCCAAGCAGTAAGCATCTTTTAATTTCATGGCTGCAGTCACCATCTGCAGATTTTGGAGCCCCAAAAATCTTTTTTTTGTGAAAAGTCTTTCACTGTTTCCACTGTTTCTCCATCTGTTTGCCATGAAGTGATGGGACTGGATGCCATGATCTTAGCTTTCTGAATGTTGAGCTTTAAGCCAACTTTTTCCTTCTCCTCTTTCACTTTGATCAAGAGGTTCTTTGGTTCTTCTTCACTTTCTGACATAAGGATGGTGTCATCTGCATATCTGAAGTTATTGATATTTCTCCCGGCAATCTTTATTCCAGTGTGTGCTTAATCCAGCCCAGGATTTTGTATGATGCATTCTGCATATAAGTTAAATAAGCAGGGTGACAATATACAGCCTTGATGTACTCCTTTCCCTATTTGGAACCAGTCTGTTATTCCATGTCCAGTTCTAACTGTTGCCTCCTGATCTGCATACAGATTTCTCAAGACAGGTCTGGTATTCCCATCTCTTTAAGAATTTTCCACAGTTTGCTCTCCACCATGACCTGTCCGTCTTGGGTGGCTCTACATGACATGGCTCATAGTTTCATTGAGTTAGACAGGCTGTGGTCCATAAGAATGAAACTAGTCTTAAAAAATGTCAAAAGCTTAGAAAAACAGGTAAATATCTGGGTTTTTTTCCTCCAAAATGCTGATACTAGGTTTATTCACTGTTTTGAACAGTGCTCACCACTGTTGCTCTACCAGTTAGCTATCCACAGATACATAACTCCTATTCTCTTATTTAAATCACAGCAGCAACACAATTCCTAAGGGTATGTTTCTTTTCATTCTGGAGTAGGGGCTATGTCTGAAGCTCTGAGCCATAAGGCCAAGCTTCTTCCATAAAAGGTGATCTTAGCTCTGATCAAGAGATTGTTATGATAAGTGACTTTTTAATTCATTTAAATAAAGCAGACCACATTGCTCCTTACAATTGTATTAAATAATTATCAGGCCAATTGGATTTTTATAAAAATAAATCTAGAAGCCACAGAGTACATTGAAAGAAACCTGGATTAGAACTGGAGAGTCCTGCCTTTGGTCTTAGCACTTGTGTTTACTAGTAAAGGGACTTTTAACTAATTATCTCTGACCTTGGTTTTTTTCCTTTGCAACATGGAATATATCCCCTATGAAGTCTCTATCTGTATATCTCTGATTTACTCTCAGTCTGAATAGGATAATGAAGTGAAAGTAGTTGGTAAACTATTAATTACACCAAAGAGGAGTTGGATCATTGCTAAATAGGTTCCTTAGTAGCAGGGAACAAGAAACGTTCAAAACATATTTTATTAGGTATCATAAAAACAAAAGGTTATAATCAGGGTCCATAATTTTTCAGGTAACTAATTCAGATTCCAAGCCACAAAAATCTTTTGCTTCCTTACTTAACTCCTCCTAATTGTCTGCTAATAACCATTCCCCCATGTTCATATTTACTTGCATTTAAGGTAGCAAGCTAAGTAAATGTAACCAGCTAGGCTAGGTACTGGGGAGAATGTAACACCTTTCAGTCATGGTCTCTGTCTCCTTTCATCTAAGGAGAAGAATATATACATATACATACACATACACACAGTAAATACACACAAGAACAAATGACAAAATAGAGAAGGAGAAAAAAAAAAGCACCATGCTATGACCATTCAGATTAGGGAGGGAGAGTCTCTCATTTGAGAGTTTCAACTGGGCCATGACAGATGGATAAGACTTGGACATGAGACTGACAAGTGACTAAACCGCCAGAGCATTTTCACACATCAAAAGAATTGTGCTGACATTTGCTGCTTGGTTAAGTTTCCTAGAAATAGCTGAAAAATAAATATAAGGACTCTACTACGGTAGAGTTCATTAGAAAAGCCCCCATTCTACTCTGTTAACAGGTGAATATTAAAGTTAGCTGAACCTCTTCAGCAAGTACACTAGATCAGATGGACATTCCTTTTGCCCATCTTTCCACTGATTATGCTATTTCTCCTGTCCTCATCCCCTGCTTCATCCTTCTCAAGGGTACACTCTAACCTGTCTCATCTTAACAGTAAAAAACGTCTCTTACATATGGTTCTATCACTTAGCCTAAAAATTCCTGAAATATCTGTATACCTGTATACCTTTTTTACCACCTCACCTTCTATTCAGGCTTCCCAGGTGGCATTAGTGATAAAGAACCATCCTGTCAATGTAGGAGACCTAAAAGGCACGGGTTTGATCCCTGAGTCTGGAAGATCCCCTGGAGAAGGGCATGGCAACCCACTCTAATATTTTTGCCTGGAGAATCCTGTAGTCAGACAAGCCTGGTGGGCTACAGCCCACAGAAGCAACTTAGCACAGCACCTCCTATTCACTCCCCATCTCAGTTTAATATGGATTTTCAGGTGTATACCAGCACCACTGTCATGACCTCCACCACCAACACTGACCAATATCTGTTATGCTGCAAAATCCATGTGCACTTGTCATCCTGCACTTCAGCTGTCATCTCAGCACATTCACTCACTTCATCAGCTGGAAGACGACTACCTGAGACAAACCGCCTTCTCCCACCCTCTCTCTCTCTCCCTCCAGCTCTTGAACCTACTCTCTCCTACTTTCCTTTGTATGTCTGTCTTCTGTGCAACTGTAATCACTGAGGTTCCTTTTGGGTCTGCCTATTTACTCTTCTCGGGTCACTGATAACTCTAGGGAATCTCATTTTTCTCCGTGTCATCAGATATGTTGTATACCACACTGACTCTCAACTGTGTTCCTCTATTCCAGAACCTGGATACCAAACTATGTAGATGAAACCTCCATTTCACAGTCTCACATATATCTCAAAATTCTACTGATACAGTTTATATCCCCAAACCTTTTTCCCTATTAGTTTTCCTCATCTTGGTAAAGGCATCATTATATAACCAGTTGCTTGTGCCACTTTCTTAAGTCTCAAATCTGATCAATCACTGAGTTCTATAAATTCCAACTCCTAAAGAATTCTCACATCTAGTGACATCATCTTCACTGCCCTCTTTCAATCCAGGTACCTTCCCATTACTCTGCACTAAAATGATATTCTCCTAACAGGTCTTCACACAGTTAACAGTCTTCCCTCCAAATCATTCTCGATACTGCAGCTGGGGTAATCATTTAAAAACCCAAATCATGTCATTTCCATCATTTCCATGTGTAAAACCCTTCTAGAGCTTTCAACTCACCATGAGATTGAAGGTAAAGTATCTTCACGCTAGTTTCTAAGATCATTCATAGTTTTTCAGAGTAACTTAAAACAAAAAGAAATGCACAGTACTAAGGGTTGGTGGTGATACAACACAACTGGAACTCTCTTATATTGCTGATGGAAATACAAAATAATCTAGACATTTTGGAGACAATTTGACAGTTTCTAAGGACTTTCCAGGTGGCACTAGTGGTAAAGAACCTGCCTGCCAATGTAGGAGACACAGGTGACGCAGGTTCAATCCTTGGGCTGGGAAGATCCACTGGAGTAGGAAATGGCAACCTGATCCAGTATTCTTTCCTGGAAAATTCCATGGACAGAGGAGCCTAGCAGGCTACAGCCCATGGGGTCGCAAAGAGTCAGATGAAACTGAACACACACAATAAAGATAAACATACACT